GCAAATAAAATCTCTAAACTATGTGACTACTATACTTTAATCTTTATGACCTTTTACATATCTTTAATACCCTTGCAAAGTGTTACACGAATATTATTATTTGAATCCATATATAAATGTGGACTCCTAAGAAACTGATTAACCAAGGTATAGCCAGTTTTGTTGGCCAGATAGACCTAGGTATTGCCATTTCCAAACTGGTGAGATGATAGCAAAGTATGTTATCAACCAAATTATGGGGATTTTTGTGATCTTAAATGAAAAGTCACAGCAAAATCTTCAAAATATGTTAAACCAGATGTAGAAAGGTTTCATTAAAATGTCAAAATAGTGCTGTAAAGGAATAGTTCCATTATTGTTTGAAAAATAGTTTAAAATTTAGACATCAAAATAACATCAAGATTGAAATATAGCATAAGCTTCCTAAGAGTAAAAAAAAATAGTAAGGCAAGAATTTTATACCTTTCACTGAAACCTGTTTTACTTTATTCATTGTAATAAAATTATATTCTATCAGGATTTTCTAAAGCTCTTTACATAACTGTCTTTATTTACCAAATTTAGACTGAATGCTACTACTTATTAAATGACCTCTTTATACTGTGACTATTTTTTTTTTAAGATTTTATTTATTTATTGGATAGAGAGATCACAAGTAGGCAGAGCAGCAGGCAGAGATAGAAGGGGAAGGAGGTTCCCTGCTGAACAGAGAGCCAGATGCGAGGCTCGATCCCAGGACCCTGAGATCATGACCTGGCCGAAGACAGAGGCTTTAACCCACTGAGCCAGCCGGGTGCCCCTATACTGTCACTATTTTTAAAAAGGAAAAAGTACTGATTTGTTGGAATCAAATTCATGTATTTTAATTTTACTATGGTATCTTCAATGATTATCAAAGTTTAGTTTTCATGACCTGGGGATTTGGTTACCATCATCTCTATTCATTTTTCAGTTTTACTGACTGAAACACCTATTGAAATTTTTGTTAATTTACATGTGGAATGAAATAATAGCATATAGGTCAATATAACCTATATTTCTTAAAGATTAAAATGTGTTTTGTGCCCTTTATGCTGTTTTTTGATGCACACTTTAACCAAATCTATATATTGGTTAGAGAAGCACTTTATTCATTTCTGTTATCATGGTTATATAAATGTTTCTAATAAATATTTAAACATGCTATGTTCAGTTAGGTGTAAGTATTAGTAATTTCAACTAACATTCCTGTCCAGTAAGAGTGTTGTTTTAGATTTCATTACAGTGCCCTAAAGCTAGTAGTAACTCTGCTTGAAATTAGGAGTGGTATTCTAATTTTTTTACTATAATTTGTGTGTACATGATCGCATGTACATGTGTGTGTGTGTATGAGAAAGACAGGCAGAGAAAGGCAGACCTCACAATCTAGCATCCGACAGAAAGGCTGAATTCATAGATACATAATGAAAGACTGTGTTGAAATATGCAGAAATGCTAAACAATTTTAAAAGGCTATAAACTAATGGGGGTTACATTTTTGAATAAAGTCCTCTGTGTTACAGGACTAGACAGTGTATCCTATTAATTTTTCCTGGGAACTTCTATTCCTAGTACCATTCTTCTAGAACTTGTTACATGATGAATTCTCAAAACTGTCTGAGAATTGCCTCACTTGTCTCTAGACTGCCCTTTGTATCTCTCCCAGGTTGATCTTTCCAAAATACTGCATGTTTCCCAGTCTTCAGCTAATTCAGTGCCCATTCCCCATGGCTTTCTATTGCCTTCATGATAAATTCTGTATTTTTAGAATAATGTGAACCTAACTCAGGAACACATCATAAAGTATGGTCCCCTATCTTCATTTATAATCTATTCCCACATTATTTACCCATAATCTTCTCTAGCCAGGTAATGCTTTCCTACTATGGCACCTATCACTCTCTCTTTTCCAACCCTATTGATTTTTCTGTGTTTCAGCTTTTATAGCTATGTAATGAATTACCTGGGAACTTAGTGGTGTAAATAAATATTTTCTATGTTCAAGAAATCAGAGGGTTGGAATTTGAACAGGACACACAGAGGAGGATACCTTGTCTCTGGTCCACAGTGTCTGGGGCTTCATCTGGGTGACTTGAATGCTGGAGGCTAAAGTCATCTGAATGCTCTGTCAGTCACGAATTTAGGGGGTGATGCTGGCTCTTGCCTGGGGGCCTTACTTCCTGTGCATGTGGGTCTCTCCACATGGGCTGCTGCACATGGTGTCTCCACAGAAGCTAATTTTTCTCACTGCATGTTAGCTGATTTCCCCATAGTTGCTCCCCGGCCACAGAGAAAGCCATGTGGAAGCTGTATCCTTTTCTATAACCTGGACTCTCAAGTCACATGTTATTATTTCTGCTATACTCTGTTGCTTGGAACAATCACAAGTCTGCCTAGGTTTCACTGGCAGGTAAACACAGTTCACCTCTTGAAAGGGACTGTTGAGCTTCTAGAAGATTATGTGGGATTAAAAATATTGCTGGGGCCACTTTTTAAATTTTATTTATTTTTAAAGATTTATTTATTAGAGAGTGGGAGGGGGAGAAGGACAGAGGAAGAGAGAATCTCAAGCAGGCTCAATGCTGAGCATGGAGTGTCACCTGGGGCTTAATCTCAAGACCCCGAGATCATGATCTGAGTGTAAATCAAGAGCTGGCCACTTAACTGACTGAGCCACCCAGGCACCCCTATCTTTTTAAATTTTAATAAGTCATAGTCATGTTCTACAGTTTGTATCCCATATGTCTTGTAACTTTCCTAGACTATTTTAGACCCTACCAAGACTTCCCCTTTCTGAACTCGTTTAACCTGTGCTCTCGTTTATAACCAGTATATTCCTTTGAATTGTTAGTGTTTTTCCATGTGCATATGTTTTCTCTCCCAAGCTATATTACAAATTATTTAGTGCAAGGATTTGACTTACTTGTATTTATATTTACCACAGGTCTAGTATAGGGTTTTGGACACTACAGGTGCTTAATAAACATCTGGCTTAAAGTCAAATAAGCTCACAATGAAATTAGAGACTCAGGTTCTATGCATTGTAGATGAACACAGTGATTGGTCTTTGCACAGAATGCAGATATTGGTGACAGATAGTGAATGTGATCCCTAAGAAGTAAGCAAGAATCATATTTTAAACAGAAGTAAATGTATTTGGATTGGATGAAAGCTTGGAGGTTTAAATGTTAGTAAGTTATGATGGCAGTCAACATTTTTTGCCTCTTAAATATATAATTTTAAATTTAAAACATATTAAAAACTCATTTAATCCATATTATATTCATTGAAAGTATTAAATGTAATTCCACTGGCATTTCACTGAAAGACTGATCAGCTAATAGCAGTAAATATTATAATACTTCATATTTTTAGAAGCATGTAGTTACATTAAAAAGCATTTGTACTTTGATTAATTTTTATTTCATTTTAAAATTAAAAATAATACTTCCTTATTGTATCAAGTCAAGATGTATAGAGAAAAAGCAAGTCTTTTCTCATCTATTCCCATATTGAAGATACAGAATTTAGTTTGGTGCATGTTTTTACATCTTTCTCCCTGCTCATTTTGTATACTTTTCATTGTTTATATATTATTCCATTTATTTATTGTTCCAGTCATAATTTATTATTCCTAAGTATGTAAAGCTCATGATTATGTCAATGTTAATTTGTCTATGTGATGATTATGAGGTTTGATCATCGGTTATTTGCTGTAAGAGGCTAAATTAAAGACTTTGTGGCAAACTAGTAGAGTTGATAATTTAATTTTAAAGTTTTTTTTTTTTTTAAGATTTATTTATTTGACAGAGAGAGAGAGAGAGAGATCACAAGTAGGCAGAGAGGCAGGCAAAGAGAGAGGGGGAAACAGGCTCCGTGCTGGGCAGAGAGCCCAATGTGGGACTTTATCCCAGGACTCTGAGATCATGACCTGAGCTGAAGGCAGAGGCTTAACCCACTGAGCCACCCAGGTGCCCCTAAAGTTGATTTTTAAAGACTCATAGAAAATATACAAAAATAAAGGCTTGGAAGAATACATTAAATTTTCTTACTATGTACTCCATTGTTTGCGTTTGTTTGCATTATGGGAACAAATAGTGTTTTGATGATAATAATGCATAGAACACGATGACTATTACTAAAATATTTATGCTAGCCAAATAATATATTTATATCTGAGCTTTGTTAAATTATTCAGACAGATGTGTAATTTTTTGGTAAATAATGTTAAATTTCATACATTGAAAGTTATTTAGACATAAAATTTTCATATGGAAGGCAAATGCATGGCATATTTCCTTTAAAACTCTCCCCAATGGAAGGGTGCCTGGGTGGCTCAGTCAGTTAAACATTGGGCCCTTGGTTTCCACCCAGGTCATGATCTCAGGGTCATGGGATAGAGCCACATGTTGGGCTCCATGCTCAGTGGGAAGGTAAGTCTTTCTGAGACACTCTCTCTTCCTCTCCCCGCATCTCTCCCCCTGCTCTTGTGGGTGCTCTCTCTCCTCCTTCTCCTCCTCCTCCTCATAAATAAATAAATAAATAAATAAAATCTTAAAAACAAAACCAAAATACCCTCTCCCTAATCTCAAGGATATTTTATTTGCAACTTGGACTGTGAAATGAAAGGAAGAGACTAAAAAAACCGTCAAATGAAAGTAGGATAGTTAAGAATTGCTGAATTCTTTGTATTCAGTCAAAATTCGGTCACTTCAGAATTCAGCTGAATTCTTTGTAATTCAGAATTACTTGTAATCCTTCATTTAGCCAGGTCCTGTGATGTGAATAAGTTAAACTCAGATCTAGTTTTTATGCACTTATGACTTTAGGGACTACTCATCTTTACCTACGTTGGCATAGGTTATTTCCAACATTAATTTATAGAATATAATTGCATGTGTAATTATAACCTTCCTATGAAACTAAACACATGCTTGATAAAATATATGAAGTTGAATATATGTAACTACTTTGTATTTCAGATGGCTGATCACTCTGAAGTGATGAAAGGTATTCATCAATACCCAGGAGTTCGCTATCCTGTCCTTACTCCTAATCTTCAGGGTTTTCACCGTGCTGTAAGTGTGCTACTAATTATTTTTAAATCGATATGTTTCTTACTGTTTTAAGGTCTTTACATAGTTAAAATGGTATCCTATGTAGCCTCCTTGTTACCATGTAGAAATGCTATTCTGATGTAGGCACATGAATACACTGCGATCTGTAACCTCTGGGTATTGTTCCACATGAATGGCCCTTCCACTTTAACCATTCAGGAATCAAAACACAAAAATACAGTAATCCATTTTGATATCATTCTCTTGAAAGTCCATTTTGTGCTTCCCTCTTAAATAAGGAATACAGAATTTAACTTAGGCATTTCTCAATATAATAATTATTAATATTATTATAGTAGATCATTTTTGGCGACTTTTTTGGATCAGCTTTCCGATGCGGGTTTTTCCCTCCCTCTAGGTGAAGCTGATTTGCAGCTGCCTCTAACACCCTTCCCTGTTCCTCTTTTGGTCGGTTTCTTCAGTCCTACATGGATTACGAATTTATATGCAAAAAAACACAAGAAGAATCAGGGCAATTTTAAGTAAAGGCTTGAGGTGTTACACTCAGGTTTTACTCTAAAAGTTTGGTAGCAGCTATTCCTGGTGTTAATGTTTTTCGCTTTTGTCTTTGGGACTGTTACATAAATTTGAGGTTGTGGGTCTCAGTTGATATGTCACCTGTTGTGTAACTTGTTAAAACCACTCTTTTTTTTGTTGTGGTTTATTTTGATATAATTTTAAGGCATTGTAAAGAAAGCAAGAGGCATTTTAAGAAATTGCAAAAATTGCTGTCACAGGTCTTAACAGAGTAAGGCATGTCTCCACCTTGAAAAAGATACCGAGTCCACACACCTTCTCATAGTTTGGAGGGGCAGGTAAGGTAATGGAGTGAAACCAGTGGCTTGGGAGTCAGGCACACCTGTGCTCAAAGCAGTACTTCAGAACTTTTTGTAGCTTTAGTGATTTAGCCTCTGTGGGCCACAGTTTTGTCATCTGTAAAATGGACAAAATGATACTTCGTTTATAAGATTATGTGTTAGAAAGAGGACGCACAAAGTACACAACAGTACTGGTACATAGTAAGTGTTCAAACAAATAGAATTTTAATTTTAGAACTTAAAAATTTATCTCAGGTAGAGGACTAGAAGCCAGTATTTTTTTTAAATGGAGAAAAAATGACCTATTTTCTTAATATATTAATAGAGCATGAGAAAGAGAGAAGATCTTGTACAATGCCAGAGATACATTAATAAAAAGTCTTTAAAAATCCAGCTGGGAAATGAGGAAATTTGGTATTTGAAAATAAGTCACTGGAGAAGCCTGGGACAAGAATAAAGATGGCAAAGGGGAAAAACGTGGAGGATAATATTTTGAATTTAAAGACTGGCAAGAGGATTAACACATTAAACACACAAGAGTATGGTTGTGGCAGTCAAGGTATGAAACAACAGAAGCTAGGTTAAGAGACAGGAAGAAAATTTCGGGCAAAGTCTAAATGATGAATTGGAAAAACATTTTTCCCTTTGGTTATCGGAAGATAAGAACGGAAAGCATTTACTATTCCCTAGTTTAATAATTGGTCTAAAAAGAATGTTTCCCATAGATATGAAAATGTTTTATTGGGGTGCTAGTATTTTCCATAATTACAGTTAAGATATTTCTGAAGCCTACACATAATTTAGGAAAGGTAAAATTGGAACGTCATCACTGTGTTTTCTGTGCCTCAGATTTATGTTACGGTTCAGAGAGTTCTTGTGTTATCATCAAATATTTTTAAATTTGGAAAGAGCATATGTGGCAGGATGAGCAGACTCTAATTTTAAATTCCAAGGCAAATGTTAAAGAACACAAGTATGCCTTTACTGAGTAGATAATATTTCTTCTACTGCTATCATTTGCATTTCTGAAATTACTAGCTTTTGCCTTTAAATTCTTTTTCAGGTTGCTGCTGGAGCCACTGAGATATCAGTTTTTGGTGCTGCATCTGAATCCTTTAGCAAGAAGAATATCAACTGTTCTATTGAAGAAAGTATGCAGAAGTTTGAGGAGGTTGTTAAGTCTGCAAGGCACATGAATATTCCAGTGCGAGGGTATTTATGAAATCCCACAAATGCTATTTAAGTTAATATCTATCGTGTAAGCTCATTTATGAGCCATGAAGACATCATTTTACATAATATATGCAGGGTATCTTTTGTACCTTGTATGATTGGGGCCATCACTGTGTAGTGATACATCTTGTGCACGTCACTTAATTATTAGTGTCCAGCTTTGAAGTGTATAATGCAGCTGAGATCAGAGGCAAACTTGTTATTGCAAAGCTGACATTGCCTGCAAACCTGACATTGTTACTCATTTTATTAATATCCAATGCACCCATCTATTTATCTCAGCCTACTGTGGGTTGATAAATTTGTGTAAACTCATAGTAGCATTTGGGAAGGAATTACTTAATGTGGTTTCCACAGCTTTAACATTTTTTTAAGGAACCATGGCCACTTTTCTTCAAAGATTATTTTATGCAGAGCTTCAATAGAGTATGTAAATCATGAAATTGAGCTTCTGAGCTGCCCTGAGAAATTCAGCCTGTCATTTCCCCATTCAACCTCCCCCTCAACAGCTGACTTCCCTGTTGTCTCCCTGTAACCTGAAAGCAAAGGCAAATGGGGAAGAAGGAGAGAGAGACCTGTTTTGGTTCTTGCCTTTTTCCAGAACCAGCAGTTGCAGCACACACTGAAAATAAGCTCAACCCCCTGGCCTATGCTCTGTGGAGTATATAATAAATTATTGGTTACTTAGGGAAGCGTTTGTTTCTAAGACGTTAGCTAATTTTCTCCTGATTTTTATGAGTATTGAGATATGATAATCACCATATTAACAAATTAAAATGCAGAGCATTCGTAAAAGAAGCCTGAGGGGCTGTTATTGGATTTAGATGCAGGTTTACCTCCTCTGGTTGAAATGAGCAAAATTCAGAGTGGCAAGGGAAGGTTCAGTGCTTAATGAAAAGGCAAGCGGACCTAATTTTGACTGGCGGTACCAGAAGAGGGTTAGAAGTCACTCAAAGTCATTTGGCGAGCAAATAGGGTTAGAATACATCACAGGGAATGATCTTGTTGGTTGGCTTACTTTTGTTACTTTCTTTTTCTTCTCTCCATAGTAATAGTTTCCAGCATGAGTTTTCAAAGATACGGATTTTTTTTTTTTAAGAATGTATTTATTTATTTGACAGAGACCACAAGTAGGCAGAGAGGCAGGCAGAGAGAGGAGGAAGCAGGCTCCCCGCTGAGCAGAGAGCCCAACTCGGGGGCTCGATCCCAGGATCCTGGGATCATGAGCCGAAGGCAGATGCTTTAACCCACTGAGCCACCCAGGCGCCCCTAAAATTGTTTTTGTTATTGAAATATATACATATCATGCATATACAAGAAAAATTTAAAAACCAAGATAGTGTGTTTCCATAGATAGAAAATCAAGGATGTGTGATTTTTAAGGCAAAAGTGAATAACCACAATCAAAAAGAAGAAACGTACTGTCATTTTCTAAATTCAAACATAGAGAAGTTGTTTGTCTCTCTTTCCTTTGAAAGAAAGGAAAAAGAAGACACCATTCTATTTTAATGTGTGTTTCAATGTGTAGTGTATGTTTTACAGTGAAGTCGTTCTTACTGGAAAGTTGAAAACAATGCATAACCATAAAAGTAAAGTATGTGCAGCTTGCACTTCAAACAAGAAGTTTGCTACTTTCAAATGGCAAGGTTTTTTTTAATGTTAAAAGATGGATGTAAACATAAATTGTATACTATATTTTATTATCTTAGTTATCTCTTCGGAGGTAGAATAGGTAATGTATTAAAGCTAATAAAACCCTAAATTCTCTCAAATACTGATTGTTGAGCAATTAATAATAGTGTCCCATCAGCAAAGAGAGTCCTAACCATGCTACAAGTTAAAAACCTTGCCAGGCTTTGATAAGAGGGGCACAGAGTGCAAGATAGATACAAAATGACGCACGGTCCAGTGCAGTCCGCAGAGTACATTGGAGACGTGCTGGAGAGCTACACAATAGACTGGTGTATGTTTGCCAATGCAGATTTTGTTCCGTGGGAGCACAACTCATAGAGTTTCTGAAACACTATTCATTTTCAGAAAGACACCTTTCAGCATGTGAGTTTGCTCTTTGCGCAGTTGAGAATTATCTTCCTCCTCCCCAAAACTTTTATAGAGTTTAAATTAGATTTTATTTTTACTGGCAATCGAGATTCTAGATACTCATTATTAAGTCATAGGTCATTAGTAATCATTTAAGAAAGAGTCATGCTCAACCAGTTGAAACTGAAGTAGATGCTTCAGCATGTCTTATATGGCAACATGGCAACAGCTGCATCAACATGTACTTGATCACCATCCAGAAAATTCATGTCATCAGCTGTCAGATTTAAAGGCCATAAGGCAGCACACATTTTATAAATGCTCAGTAAAACCATTTAAATTTTTATGAAAATAGTTAACTTTCATATGGTCTAAATAGCAGCTTTTATTAAAGTTACGAGGGCTATTGTTGGATTTCCCATGTCCCCCCAAACACACACATATACACATGCATGTGAACACATATTTTATATATGCTTAGGACTTCACATAACATCTGGGATACATTGGGAAAACATACCATGCCAAATCATTGACATAAAATGCAAAGTCAGCTAACTGCCACTGAATGTACATTATATATGAATGGAAAATGAAATATCTACATTTTAGACTTCATTTTTTGATGTGTAATTCATATGACATATGTTTGAAATATGTAGGTTATTTTTCTATTATCTAAATTTTTAAAAAGTAAAAAAGGCAAAGAAAAATAGAAATCTATGATAAATGTAATCATTTTCTCTATTTTTATCACTGCATTTGTTGAAATAATTATCTCTTGGCTTGTCAAGATCCTTTCAAAACTGAAATGCGTCAAGATATGAAGGTAGTATTCTAATATATCAGACATTTAGTTTTATTCCTTTTTGTCTGAGTATCAACTTAACCTTAAATGAAGTCATTAGAATCACATGCTCTCTCTCTTTGCGAGAATATTAATTTAAAAAAGGAAACTATCACTAAGGAGCCATTATTAATTTTACTATTAAAATGCTTATATATTATAAATTCACAAGGTCAGCAGTTGTACACAACAAAGAAAAGCTTTTTACATAATTATATTTTAGGCCACTCCTTTAAAATCATTTAAAATGAGTTGACCCATGATTACTCAAAGCCTGAACCTACTGAAAGTTGAAAGAAGTATATTTGTAACAATTTCCTAGAAGTCAAACAAAATTATCCATCCATTGTTTAAAAAAAAAAACAACTGCAAAATGCAAAAAACATTTTTTTATTAACATATAATGTATTATTTATTTCAGGGGTATGGGTCTGTGATTCATCAGTCGTACACAATTCCCAGCACTCACCATAGCACATACCCTCCCCAATATCCATCACCCAGACCCCCCATCCCTCCCACCAGCTCCACTCCAACAACCTTCAGTTTGTTTCCTGAGATTAAGAGTCTCTTATGGTTTGTCTCCCTCTCTGGTTTTGTCTTGTTTCATTTTTCCCTCCCTTCCCCTATGATCCTCTGTCTTGTTTCTCAAATTCCTCATATTAGTGAGATCATATGATAATTATCTTTCTCTAATTGACGTACTTCACTTAGCATAATACCCTCTACTTCCATCCACATCGTTGCAAATGGCAAAATTTTGTTTTTTTGATGGCTGGATAATATTCCATTGTATACATATACTATATCTTTTTTATTCAGTCATCTGTTGATGGACATCTAGGTTCTTTCTGTAGTTTGGCTATTGTGCACATTGCTGCTATAAACATTGGGGTGTACATGCCCCTTCGGATTACTACATTTGTTATCTTTAGGGTGAATACATAGTAGTGCAATTGCTGATATGTAGGGTAGCTCTTTTTTCAACTTTTTGAGGAACCTCCATTCTGTTTTCCAGAGGGACTGCACCAGTTTGCATTCCCACCAACAGTGAGGAGGGTTCCCCTTTCTCCACATCCTCACAAGCACCTGTCATTTCCTGACTTGTTAATTTTAGCCATTCTGACTGGTGTCCTCGAGGTGGTAGCTCATTGACGTTTTGATTTGTATTTCCCTGATGCTGAGTGATGTTGAACAATTCTTCATGTGTCTGTTGGCCATTTGGATGTCTTCTTGCAGAAATGTCTGTTCATGTTTTCTGCCCATTTCTTGATTGGATTATTTGTTCTTTGGGTGTTGAGTTTGTTAAGTTCTTTATAGATTTTCGATACTAGCCCTTTATCTGATATGTCATTTGCAAATATCTTCTCCCATTCTGTCAGTTGTCTTTTGGTTTTGTTGACTGTTTCCTTTGCTGTGCAAAACCTCTTCATCTTGATGAAGTCCCAGTAGTTCATTTTTGCCCTCGTTTCCCTTGCTTTTAGTGATCTTTCTAGGAATAAATTGCTGCAGCTGAGGTCAGAGAGGTTGATGCCTGTGTTCTCAAGGATTTTGATGGACTCCTGTCTCACGTTGAGGTCTTTCATTCATTTTGAGTCTATTTTTGTGGGTGGAATAAGGAAATGGTCAAGATTCATTCTTCTGCATGTGGCTGTCCCAATTTTCCCAACGCCACTTGTTGAAGAGACTGTATTTTTTCCATTGGACAATTTTTCCTTGCTTTGTTGAAGATTAGTTGACCATGGAGTTGAGAGTCCATTTCTGGGCTCTCTATTCTGTTCCAGATATCTGTTTTTGTTCCAGTACCATACTGTCCTGATGATGACAACTTTGTAATAGAGCTTGAAGACTGGACTTGTGATACCACCAGCTTCGGTTTTCTTTTCCAACATTCCTCTGGCTATTTGGGGGCTTTTCTGGTTCCATATAAATTTTAGGATTATTTGTTCCATTTCTTTGAAAAAAGTTGATGGTATTTTGATAGGATGGCATTAAATGTGTAGATTGCTTTAGGTAGCATAGACATTTTCACAATAGTCTTCCAATTCATGAGCATGGAACATTGTTTCCATTTCTTTGTGTCTTCCTCAAT